TCCCTCCTTCCTTCCTTCCTTCCTTCCTTCCTTCCTTCCTCTCTTCTTCCCTCCCTCTTTTCCTGTCTGTCTGTCTTATGTCTCTGTCTTTCTTGGTACTCTAGAAGTCTGGGTTTTTTTTTTTCCAACAACAATTAATATTGGAAGGGTGCTTCCCTGAATATTTGTGTGCTGTGGGTTAATATCTTCACTCACCACGTTGTCACAGAAACACAGCCAGATGTAATAATCCATCTGTTGAAAAATAACTACTAATGCAATTCTATAGAAGCATTAAGTCTAGCCATCCTCTCAAACATGTTTTAGTCTTACTGAATATAAAAGTTCACAATTTTGTCCCTACTGATGCAGATAAACATACTTTCCATGAGAAGAAATCAGCAAGCCCCCAACAGCCCGCCGAAGTCAAAGCCTGTTCTAGCCAAGTTTTATTAATAGCCACCATTTGAACAGGGAATACGTGGAAATGTAACAAGTTTTTCAAAAACATTATCTCAATTAACTCTATTTAACTGAAAAACCTTCATTTCTATTTGAGTGTATTATGTTATGAGCCCATTCTACAGATAAAAAGCTGTCTTTTCAACTCCAACTTTTTGATAAAACTCCCTGGATTCTACTTGCCACTTGCTGGTTCTACTACTTGGCAGTCACTCAGACAGAGCCTCAACTGCCTCATGTAGAAGACAGACATGTGGATCTCTGAGTTAGCCTGGTCTACAGAGTGAGTTCTAGGACAGCCAGGTCTACACAGAGAAACCCTGTCTTGAAAAACCAAACAACAACCACAAAGACAGATATAACAAGTAGAATGACTTGTTTATCTCAGAAAACTGGAAAGCATTCCTTGGGAATGGGCTACAAATGTTATGAACACCCTGAGGAAACCGGCAGGAGCTACACAGGTGGGTGATAAGACAGTGTTGCTGTTTGCTTGATACTGGACCATGGTTTGTATGTGACTTGGTCCCTGTTCTGTCTCTGAGACATGACATATGACTTTATGGAATGGGTGACTTCACAGCAACGTTTTAATACCTAACGCTCTTCAGTCTCTGACATACAGTCCAAAACCCATCGTATAAAGTGTCAGTGAATTAGCTACACAAAGCCTGTCATAATTCATTGAAAAGAGATGGTAGGACAACAAGTATGCCATGTAAATAACCCCCCAGAAGCTAAGAGAAGAACCTCCATGCTAACAACATGGGAGGGAAGTGTGAGTTCCACCCTGACAGACTCTTACATATTCTAGCAAGTTGGTGCAAAAAGGAACCTCAGATACTAGTCCACCGCTTTCCTAAACTTGGCTTCTGGCATCACAGAACACCTAGCAGTGTAGCTTAAATAACAACCATCAGGTCCAAGTTCAAAGATTTCTTAAGATTTAAAAAAAAAAAAAAAAAAAAACAAGTGAACTCAGCAAATAATTTCAACCAATGAGAATCATCTGTTATCTTACAACAGATTTTCAAAAATTGGTGCTCGAGTAATTGAGTTATCTCCAGTGGGAAACTATCCCACCACCTCCAACAGACTTCAACTTAAGTTCTACGTCTCTCTCTCTCTCTCTCTGGGAAAATAGGCAAGGGGGAGGAGCCTTGGTGTTAAAAGTTGGTAGAGTACTTATGTTTACTATCAAAAGTATGATCCATAGAATGAAAACTCAATAAACTAGACATCCTCAAAATTAAAAAAAATATTCATAGCACAAAAGTGAAGACAGAATCAAGAGCACATGTAGAACTCTCAGGATGGGACTGGAGAGGTGGCTCAATGGTTTTAGAGCAAGTGCTGTTTGGAGAGGCCTGAGCTCAGTTTCCAGTGTCCTCACCAAATGGCTTGCAACTGCCTGTAATTCCAGCTCCAGGGGATCTGATGCCCCCTTCTGGCCTCTGTGGACAGTGCATTCATGGGCACAAACCCATCCTCACCTCTCCACACACAGAATTAAGAACAACAAATAAGTAAATGTCTTAAAGTTCAACAGAGGAAAAGCAAACAGTTCAACCAGAATATAAGCAGGAGGAATGAAGACACCTTTCATATTTCAGAAATCACACAGATGTCCAACAAGCCGTGTTCATCCTTAGCCATTAGGGAAAGGTAAATCAGTGGAACATTACTGCAGGCCCTTGAGCACAGCTCAAATGGAAGAGAGGGGTGATGTCGGACTCTGGCAAAGATGCGGAGCCATTGGTTCACTGGTTCACTGCTAGGGGCAGTGCAAAATGAATACAGTCACACCAGAAACAGTTTGTCAATGTCTTTACGTTTTTACCTCGTTACCAAGGTAGGATCCAGCAATTGTGTCTTTAAGCACTGACCTTCAAGAAATCAAGTCAAAGAAGACTTATGTTCAACAAAAACGGGTATGCAAGTGTTTATAGTGGCTTTATTCCTAATAACTTCAAACAGCTCAGCTGACCTGCGATGGGGGAACGGCAACAAACGTCTGCGCTCTCTCAAGATTCAAGATGGCTGAAGAGAAACGCTTAATCCGTGGGGCTGGAGAAATGGCTGAGTGGTGAAGAGCACTTAATGCTCTGGAAAAAGACCTGGGTTTCCTTCCTAGAACATACATCAGACAGCTCACTGTAACTCCGGTTCCAGGGCACCAGATGCCCTTTGGTCTCCGCAGGCTTGTAAACTCACATAGGTGCATACACAGAGGCTTAAGTTTAAAAAGTAAATTAATAAACTTTTTTTAAAAAATAAGAGTCCCTTATTTTTAAAAAAAAAAGTCAAAAGGAAATGACCAATAATTACTCCCCCTGTACAAAGACCAACCCGAGCAATCCATGTAGAGATGCATTTAGAGGCCAATGGTAATGACAGAGTACTGGAAATCCTCATGACAGGCTGAAATCTAGTTAAATTCAGACACCATGGTAAGAGAAGCAAAACACTCCAGCATCTGCCACCCCAGCTCCACAGTATGAGTTAGGGGTTCATCCTTTTGGAGGAGTGAGGTCCAAGAGAGAGTTCCAGGAGGCTCCATCCATGTGGGTGCTGATAATCCTAGCTACCAGATAGCCAGTTTGCAGTCCCTTTAGATTAGTAGCCTGAACTCTGCATAGCAGCCTGGCTTTAGAAATGGGTCTTCACATGGCCCTACGGAAGGCCCAGGGTATGGTAGCCAGTACCTATCTTGAGAAGTCAGCCTCTGTTTCCAAGAATCAAAGCATCTCTGCGTGCTCCCTTCTCCCGTATTACACAACCACTCCCTGGCACTGGCCGGGCAGATAGCTGCCTCTTGAATCCAACATAGCACAGCAGGGTGACTGTGGCTAAACCTGCGGGATGCCCTGCTCTGTAGGGGTTGGGAGCTATGACCAGAGGAGATTGGAAGGTGCTGCTGCCTCTGAACACCAGGAGACTAGCACACTTGCTCTCTGAGACCCAGGGTAGAGTTAGCCATGTGTGGATGAGGACAGGGTCAGGACTGAAGGGAGGTATCACGTGGTTCCCATGGCCCTTCTCCCCAAGACCTGTATTCATGTGCCTGTTATGAATAAGGTGGGACGTGAACGCCCATGATTCTCAAACACACGGGGGCCTGATGGGAGGGCCCAGCACAACTCAATGAGTCCAGGCCCTACCTGAGGCATACACTGCCAAATAGAACCTGCTGAGAGAAATGTGGCTCAGCTCTGCCCCTGCCTGGTCCCACTCACGGGCAGGGACAGTCATTGAAGCAGCAGAGAGAAACACTGGAGTTCTTCCTTCTACCCCACTTGTGTGTGGCTGCCATCTGGTCCATTCTGATGTTAATGTTACTAGGACTGGGCAAGAGCACCCCAATAGGAGTGCAGTGGGTCCCACTCTAAGAGTCCTGGCTCCTGAAAGTAAAGGTCCTCACCGGCAGCAGAATACCAATAGCTGGACGGAAACACCAGCATCTGATGGGGCACCAAGATTATAGTAGAAGTAGATCTACGGGGACTAGGCCATGGCCTCTGCTGTAAACATTACACCCATCGGAACTTCAGAAGCATCTCCACTCTCACAGCACATAGAGAGAGTGGGTCTGACACGCTGCCACACTGTGTATCAGGCCCAAACTCGTATGCCATAGCCATGGGAGTTATAGGGGAATGATACTACAATACTCAGCTAGACTCGAAGTCTCCATCACAGAACCCGCTGACACTCCAAGACACGTCTTTAGAAGAAAGCCATTTATCAAGGCTACCCCCTTAAAAGTGGTAGAGACAGCGGACCCAGCCATTGTGCAAGTCTCAATGTACGAGCACAGATCGTGTGGAAAGGGGGCAACGGCCTATCTCCAAAAGAACACGGTAATTCTTAAGCAACAGATTCCTCAGAAATGGAAGTGGATGAAATCTCAAAGGATGATTGCAAAACAATCACAATGAGGTCCTCAAGAACACGGATTCACAGCTAAACGAAATTAGGCAGACGGCGTGGGCTGTGAATGGAAATTCTGCAGAAAGAATCAGGCAGAAATCTTGGAAATGAGGAAGTCAATGAATCAAATAAAATATATAACCCTTGAAAGCCTCAACAACTTATGGAAGGAATAATATGTGAATTTGAAGAGTATATACATCTCTCTCTCTCTCTCTCTCTCTCTCTCTCTCTCTCTCTCTCTCTCTCTCTCTCATCTCTGGTATATCAGATGGTATACCAGAAAAGATTAGAATTAAAGGCGCAGAAAATCTGTCCAATAAAATAATTGCTGAGAACTTTTCCTAAATCTTGAGTAAGATATGAACATCCATGTGCAGGAAGCTTATCTAAAAACAAAATCAAGGTGGGCCAAATACCTGAATATCAGACCAGAAATTCTAGAAGTCATAGAAGAAACCACAAGAGTCATTTCAAGACATAGCCATGGCTAATGATTTTCTGGGTGGGACTTCCCAAAGCATAGGAAACAACAAAAATAACCAAATGGGATTACATAGAACCAAAACCTTCCAAATCATCAATTAAATGTGCAAAGGCATGAAAAAACAGCCTATGGAATGGGAGAAAGTATTTGTAAACTATACATTTGGCAAGGAAGGGCTATCATCCAGGATACATGAGGAATTTCAAAAAACACAGTCCAATAAAACAAATAAATGAAATAAGCTAGACACAAAAAGGCAAGTTCTGCATATTCTTTTTCATGCCGAAGCTTTAAAAGTAAATTTGAAAGTAAAATCATTGACTGGTCCTGGAGGGAGTGGCTGAATTTTACCAGTGTACACTTTACACATATATGGAAATATAACATTTTTAATATGTACAACTAATACTTGTCAACAAAACCTGAATTAACCTCCAGAGAATTTTGTTGAGCAGAAAAAATAAAAAAAATAAAAACATAAGAACAACGTCAGAAGGTTGTATTCTGTAATTCCGGCCTATAACGTTCTTGAAATGACCAAGTTTGAAACTGAGGGGCTGAATGGTGGTTCTTGGGGTTTCAGGAAACGATGGGGGGGGGGGGAGGTGGTGTGGCTGTATGATGGCCAGTGAAAGGTTGGAATGGCGACTTTGCAAGCTGATTAGAGAGATTGGTTGAGTTCATGCCAGGTTTGAAGTCACCCAGGCAAGGAGTTGACAAGTCTGAAATTCAATTTCAAGTCTGTCTTCCTACACCAATTTCATGCCCTTTCACACCATTAAATACAATTAATAATTAATCAGAGGAAATGCTGCTAAAAAAAATATATATATCACGGCCTCTTTCCTGCTTCTCAGAGGTCCATTAGAGGGAGAAGATACGAAAGCGCGAAGATCTATGAACCAGTGGAGCCTTGCTAGGGCGTCTCCATTTCTCTTCTGCCTGGAGGCCTTTCCAGGTGATGCCAGACCCACCTATTAGTTCCTAGAATCAGACCTTGGGCAAAGGGCTATGAAGGTTTACCTAACAGCTCACCTGCACAGGATCAGAGAGAATACAATGCAGACTGACGTGAACGCGGGCACTCAGTCATGTACGAGGGGTTTCTTTTTCAATTACGAAAACGGGCTGTTCTGTTGTTTATTGCCCTATGTCAGATCTATCTGGGGACACATCAAAAGAAGTAAGTGTTCTGCGTTCCTTGAGTATTGTTCAGGTATCTACGAGGCCGCCTGTGTTGAAGGATGGACACCCAGGAGAACTTTACACTGACTACCTCCAAGAATGTTACCCGAAGTGTGAACTGCCATCACGACCTAACACGGGCTTTCCAGTCTCCAGGAGTTTTCCAGTTCCATCTGGATGGTTACCCATTTCCATCCACAACAGGGCTACACTGAGAGTTTTCTGTGAAGTGTTGTTTCTAGACTGCCTTCCACTCCAACCCTGGGGCAGCATGGATCCTTAAACCAGGATTTAACCTGCACCTGAGAGGTTTCATTTGGGGACAAATCCATCCCAAACCATCCTTTAACACACAACAGAGCCATACTGGGCTTTGAATCTTCCTCGGCTCCCTAGTACTGCCTCCATCTTAATCTCAGCCTCCTTTGCTTTATTTCAGATCCAGGCAGGAGGTCATCTTCTGACGCCCCCACTACCCATCCCCTATCATCCCTCAATGTGCCATAATGACACCTCCTGAAATTTCCCTGGTGCCCTCTCTATTTTTCCTCGCCCGTCCCCTTCCTGAACTTGCGTTTGTACCTGGTGTCTGGGGACCTTCTCTGCTTTCCCCTGCAGAGGGCTGAGTCTTGTGTACCTCTAGAAGGCTCAGTTTCTAGAAGAGTGCGTGGCACAAATACCTGCCCGGCAAATGTTAAACAAACAAAGGCACCAAGAACTCGAGACCTGTTCACGTTTTTCCAGAATCTGAGTCATAATCATAGTACTAAACGAATGCCAAAGATAATACCACCACCGTCCACGGTTCCGAGATCTAAGACAATACTGTCACCTATTCGCAGTCAGTTCGGTGAGACCAGAGCTGAGAAGTAGGCCCTGCCCAGCGGACTGAGTTTCCCCGTATCTGCCTCTCGACAGTTTTCCCGTCTTGGAAGCAGATCTCTTTCATCCCCCTGCTCCCCATTTATAACAAGAGGGGCGGCTGGATGAAGTCAGGTGCTCTCTCACCTTTGATCTTTCCGACAGATCAAAACAAGGTTGCTTAGCGCCCAGAGAGCCTCCCTCCCCTCCCCCAACGCACCTCCCTGCTCAATCGGGCTGGTGTTGTCGCCCGGGAGGCAGCGGCGGGCTCCCCGGGCTCTCGCCGGGCTCTCCCGGACCTCGCAGCAGGGCCGCCAGCAGCCCCTGGGCTACCCCATCCGCACCACTCTGAGGCCACCGCCACCGGCCAGGCCACAGCGGCCCTCTGAAGCGTCAACGCCAGCGCCCGCGCGCCGCGCCACCCCTGCTCCCTCCGCGGGTTCCTGGCGCGCGCCCGCCAGCCGGGCGGCTCCTGCACGGCACGGTGGGTCCCAGGCTCCCCTACCCCTTCTTCGTCCCGCTCGTCCCGCCACCCTGGGCACACCCCAAGCCTGGGATCCCCAGATTCTCCGTGCACACTCGCAGGCTGGAGACCCCCCCCCCCAGATCATCTGTGCCCACTGTAGGCCCGGGCTCCGAAGATTCTCAGCACACTCTGGGGCTCAGGGCTGCCGACGCCCCCATCCCCAACCCGCTCCACCACCACCGCTAGTCGCTCCCTCCACCCTTCGCCTGCGTGGGGACCCTACCTTGGCCAGCCAACCACTGGGCCCTCCAAGCCAGCTGAAGCAGACACACAAACCTGCTCACAGCTCAACCCCAGCCCGGTGCCTGCTTGGTTTCATCCTCCCAGCAACCAGGACCTTCCTGTGACAAACTTTTGTGGTATCAAGCTTTGTCCCTGCTGGGTGTTAACAGTTTTAAGGATGACCTTTGTGCGCAGCGCAGAAATATTTGGGTATAGTCATTATGGATACACAGGATACCACGTCCAAGGTGGATACGGATTCCTTCTGGGCCAAAGGTTTGTTTCCTCTGCCTGCACCCTGAAGAAACATCTAGGTCTTTGATTCAACGACCAGTGCAAGATGGGTTGCTGTAGAAAAAACCCGTAACTCACACACCTGCATGCATGCATACAAAACAGTCCTACTTAGACTGACCCAGAGGCCAAGGGCCAGCGAGGGCACACTGAGCAGCCATGACCCTACCCACACGCCAAAATCAACTTCAGTGTGGGGAGAGACAAGGAGAAAGGGCAAAAGGGGGTCTATCCTCCATCCCCTAGACCTCGGATGCTGCTTTCCCAAGTGAGAAGTTACCTGGCTTGGAATGGGATGGAGCTGGCCTTCATTAAGGACCAGAGTCAGAGTCCCCTCCCTTCCTCTGCCCTGAAGATGTCCTGGATCTAGACAGAAGAGGTCCCTTACTCAGCTTGACTCCTGCCTTTTTAAACCAGGCAGACCAGGCAGGCCAAGACTTCAGAAAAACAGCCATTGAGGTTAAAAATAGAGCTGTGGATGGCGAAGATCCTCTTTCTCCTGGCTTAACAGCGTGCCCAGAAACTCCAGCCAGGGAAGGACGGGCAGACTCGGTGAGCTTTCTCGGAGAACTGCACAGGACTTGGTTTGAAGCTGGTCGTCCTCTAGATCTGTGTCCTGGTATACATGGAATTCAACCCAAACACACCCTCACCCATGCATAACTTAGCGGCTGGATTTGATGTGTTTTGGGGTCACATGGGAGAAATGCCAAGCAGGCAGCTGCTTTCATAAACGGATGAGGTTCCATGATGAGGACTGTGGATCAGTTTTCCTGGATCTGCAGCTCTGGGTCAGGAGAGACGTTTTGGAAACGTCAAGTGGCGCTGTAGAATTGTGAGCCCTTGAGGGGTAGTGGGAGTGCTCTTTGTGAGTTATTGGTTCCCCCCCCCCGCCCCCCAGATTCCCTTTAAATGCATATTTAGTTATGAATCGAATCAGATATGCCCTTTGGGATCTTTCCTCAGCCATTCCAATTGAGTCATCACAGAAGGAGGTGGTGTATGATTTTATACAGGAGAGTTAGCGTGAGCATTTATAAAGCCATCCTGCTTATGAGCTAAATTTATGACGTTTGCCAGGTTAATCTGTTTTCTCTAATCGGACACTTAATCATCCAGCCTCCTCTCGGCATTATGGATTCATGAATGTCAGCGGAGGAGAGCTGCTCAGTCAGGGCAAGATGATAAATTGCCGCTTCATTTTGGGGGTATTTGTGACTAAACGCCTCATAATAGAATTAAGATGAAATAAATCTTGTAATTTCAGTTCTAGATCCCTGCCAGGTGTGGAGAAAATGCATCTGGCCAAAAGCAAATGCAATTCTACCACCGAACGGAATCTACAGGAGAGACAAAGCTTTTTGTGCAAAACAAAATTCTTCCTTCACCTCTGTAGATGGGAGAGAGTTGGTCACTCCCAGGCACTATATGGGTGAATGTAAGTGGGTGGCTGTGTGAGCCATGACCTGAAGCACCGCCCCTAGTGAGGCAGCAGGTAACTGTTACACCTGCCTATGACCTTGAGGTACATGCCCCTGGAAGGTGGCCACTGGGGAACCCTTAAGACCTGGGATGCACATATGTGCTCCTCTTTGCTATCTCACGTTTTTGGATGCTGAGATTTTGGACCACAGGCAGATCAGCATGAAACATAGCTCAGCTTTCCTGGACCCTAGGATAAATCTCCCTCGGTTGTGAGTTAACCCCCAATAAATTCCTTTGCTCGTTACATAGACTCCGTGGATTAATCCCATTAGGTGAACAACACATAATCACCATTTCCATTCAGAAAGGATGAGTCCCAGACAGTGGAAGGCAAAGTTGGTCTATATCTAGAGTTATCCTGGGGTCTCAAAAGCTATGCAGAGAACAGATTGGCCCAGGTGTTGTTTTTCTTTCTTTCTTTGGTTTGGTGTGGTTTTGGTTTTGCTGTTAGAGTCACAGCCTAGTTGGGTTGTAAGGTTTGAAACCTTGAAATAATAAGGGACACAATTTAGTCACATCTTTTATTAAATAAATATTAAGCTCATGCCCAAGCAACAGCTCTGGGAGAAAACAAGAGCCATTTTTTGTCTTTTTACCATATGGAGACAAAAACCAATAGACATGTGTGGCATTAGATGGAGGCCCCCGACCAGGCATACATGTACACAGTTTTTGTGTGTGCTTCTTATACTTAACAAAAATATTCTCATTCACACCGCTAGCTCCTCGGTTTCCAGCTGTTGCTGAGAGGCCTGAGACACGGATCTCTGAGCTTAGAGTCTCCTGGGTGTAACAGAGGCCAGCCTTCTTAGCTGAGAGTCATCCTATATCCAGAGTCCTTCTTCCCTTGTACAGCAAAATCAAAATCTTATTTATTTAGTGGTGCTTGGACCTAATCCTAGGCTCATCTATGCCACAGTACACGTGCTGCCCCTGAGCTATAGCAGAGTTCTACAGCCTTACTTCTGTATTAAAAATAATGATAATAATAATAATAATAATAATAACAACAACAACAACAACAATAAACAGGTTAACAATGTTATCTTGGATATATTTAAATAGTTAGAAGAGAAGATTTTAAATGTTTTCCCCCACAAAAAATAAATGAAGGAGGTGACACTCAATTGATTATTATATGATGTATAATGTATTAAAACTGTACTGTGTACTCCACAAATATGCTTAAGCATCTGTCCATTAAAAACAAAACTGATACAAGAAAACAAAAAAGCTAGAGGCTGGGGTGAACTAAATATCTCTAAAATCAAGGTAAAATGAATAAGCACGGCATATACCAAAAAAAAAAAAATCTTCTCAAAATAAAAGACTTGCACAAATACAAGGTAAATAAGAGCTAATGTGACAATTGGTCTTTGTGACGACCTCGCAGCCTTAGAAAGACAGTAACTGGGAGTATGCGGAAACTGGGGGTTACATCAGCCCAAGTGAATTGAGACAGTCATTTAAATAGTTCAAACCCTGCTTCTCTCTCATCAAATGATTCTGGGAAAGTAAAAGCTTTTCCCTTGACTTCAGATGTCTAGAGAAGGACTGCTCAGCGTGCAAATTGCTCTCATTCCCGCTCTACATTGTACATTCTTGGTCCTGATGGCTGGAACTAGACATCTGTGCCTTTACTGATTCTTTGAGTGGCTACAGTACTTTCAGGCTCTGGTGTCTTTCTGATTGTTTCTTGCCTAGATCTAGGTAGGTGGGAAATGACTAAGCTTGTTAAATTGGCCAACTGAGCCAAGTTCAGGGGTAGTCAAGGGTTGGCTACCAAACAAGATGATTTCATGAAATCCAAATCAGAGGTACAGAGACCTGTCAGTACGTGGCAAAGGACATGGGTGCACCTTCTATAGAGGAGCATGCATTCTGCCCAGGGGAAAGGTCTGGACGGTAAAATGGAAGGCTTGAGTTCTAACCCCAGGTATATGCCTTGCTAACTATAGGGACAGGAGCACATTCCTCAGACCTTCTCAGCTTATGTGACAATGGGATGGGGGAATCATACCCTAGCCTGCCATCTTCACAGATTTGTGAATGGTTTTCAAAAATATAAAAAGCTTAATATATGTAAGAAAACTACAATTACTCAATATAGTAACCTAAGGGTATCCTTGAAAATAACACTTATGTTTCATCATTTATAGAAAGAAAAAAATATATATGTACATTATGTTCCTGTTTCTCTCTACCTCTTTCAATTTTAAAATACAGAATAAGCTGTCTAACGTATCAATTTTAACACTTATATACTATAACTATGCCACTTAGAAGGTATACTGACAACGCAGCTAACCTTTTTTGTCTTTTATTGGCCTTATAAATAAAAGCACATCATTGAAAGAATACCACAGAGGGTAGGGTAGACTTGAGCCTAGGGGAAAATCCTCCCAAGCAGCAGGAAAAGGGTAATTCCGACCAGTCCTCCATAAAAGCCCACATTGCTACACACAATCTTAAGGCACAAGTGTTTACAGGACTCTTGGTGACTAGAAAAGCAATAGTAAATGTGCATTGGCACTAAAATTCATGTATCCATGGAAACGTGTGAAGCTCCCGAGCGCATGCGCTCACAGCCTAAGGTATTAATCCTTGGGCTGAGGGGGATCCGAGTGTTCCTGCACTGTGGAGGACTGAGAGATTGCTGACAGCCACTCACACAGGCCTGTACCAGCTTGTTTTCCTCTGCTAGATTTAATTATGGGGACATACAGAGACCGCAGACATCAGTGAGGAAAAAAAAAAATCCACGCTTGTTTACATGAACTTATATCCTGGAATACACTGTACTTGACTCTGAGTTTCAATCAGAAAACGTTTGATGAGCCAGCAACCCCCTCCCCCCCCCCCACATCTGTGGCTACCTCAGAGCCTCTCGAAAG